ATTGTTTCATTAATTCATTGTTTCATTAATTCATTGTTTCATTAATTTATTGTTTCATTAATTCATTGTTTCATTAATTCATTGTTTCATTCACAGATGTCTCTTGTAAATGAGTCCTCGTGGCTCATGAGACTCACCTGGATAAATAAAGGTTGAATGAATGTTAATCTGACATTTTAGGCAAATGATTTATGGGCTTAAGCTAAATGTAACTAAAGTCTAGCAAAAAGCTAATTGCAAAAGGCTTTTGAAAAGCTAAAAGTATAGCAAAACAACTGCTAAAGGTTAAATATACAAAACAGTAGCTAAAACAAGCTAAACGACAGCAATAAATATTCAATTCAATTAAACTAAGTTAAAATGTAAATGTAGCAAGTCGTTAGCTAAAAGCAAAAAATGAGAGACCTTTTTGCTGTTCCACACTTTCTTTAGCTTAGCTAAAATTAGCAAAAACTGATGCTAAAAATAAAAACTTATAGTTGATAGTAGCTAAATAAAGAATAAAGCTAAGATTAGTAAAGCTAAAAATAAAAACAAATCTGGAGCTAAAACTTAAAAGTAATAAAACAATTGGGTAAAATGAGCAATACGTCAAACCAAAGCAGTTAAATTATAGCTAAAAGTAGCAAAAATAATAGCTAAGTCAAAAGTGTCAGAATGTTAGCTAAAAGTAACAAAACAGTAGACAAAACATGCTTGAATGAACAAACTGTAGCTAAAAGTAGCTAAATTAGTAATAAAGCTAAAACCAGCAAAACAGAAGCTAAAATTTGTGAAACTGTAGCTAAAAGTAAAAAGATTGTTGTTAAAAACAAAAAGTAGCAAAAATGTAGTAGATGGAAAAAAATGACCACTCAAGTAGCTAAATTAAAAAGTGGCAGAATGATCACTAGAAGTAGCTAAACATCACTTAAAATTGGCAAAACAGAAGCTAAAGTATAATTAGCAAAATGTGCAAAATGAAGCAAAAATGAAACAGTAGATAAAATTAGCAACAACTGTAGCTAAAAGCTAAATGGAGCCAAATGTTGGTGAAAAGTTAGAAATGTTAAATCAACTGCGCAAAGTCAACAGGGAGGAAAAATAGCTACAAGTTGCAAAACAACAGCTAAAATGGGCCAAACAGATATTAAAGCTAAAATCAGCAAAACATTAGGTAAAATTAGCTACACTGTAGCTAAAAGCTAAGTGTAAAGAAAAATGCATCACCATCTTTTATTGTCTTGATCATTTTCCATTCAGGAAAATAAAACCGTGTCGTGCCCGGTGGTTCAGCGTACGGCCGTTTGAAACGCATCGTTTCCAGCTTTGCTAAGAGAAATTTAAGCTGCGTTATCAACTCTGAATCAGCTGTAGCGCAGCGGGAACGTCTGTAATGATCCACAGAGAGGAGATATTTCATTTCATTAGCTTCGTCCAGTAAGAGCGGTCTGGTTCTACGGGTCCAGTTTCAGGGATGTTTTTATGGGTCTGAGGGAAGTGTGAGTCATTGTTTGATCACGAGGCGGCGAGCGGAGCGAGATAAGCGTATCATTTGGTGCAATCTTCACTCAGAACTCCCTCTCAGTTCCACTAAATAAAAGTTGTGACTGCCTCAGATAAGATCAAATAAAGAAGGAGCCGCTCGTGCTGTTTGCAGCTGCGAGGGTCAAGTGATGTGAGCGTGACTCCAGAACAGCTCAATGTGGACTCTGTCCACGGCTCCGGGACCAACTCGGCTTTCTTTACAGAAACATAAAGAAGGTTGTGGCGCAGAGCAGACGTGAAGGACCGAGGTCAAAGGTTTATCAGACTGTCGTGATTCTGATGGACGACTCTTATTTTTGTCCCCGTCATAAAGCAAAAAGGGCGAAATGGAAATAACGGGACGACAAATCAGTGAAGGACCGACTTCCATTTTGGTGCGTGGCTGCGTACAGGCGTAAGAACGTTTCCTTTCAAAAGCTGGGTTGCTACATCAAAATCCAAGATGGATTTCCCTAAAAGTACAGTCTCCTCAAATGACTGAGGTGGCCGAAGATAAATCTATGGGGGCCAAGGCCACCACTGGCCACCCCCTGGCTCCTCCGCTGCACCTGGTGGTGGGTTAAAACGCTCGTTCCGCTCGCCAGGATCCGTCAGTCTGCGCTGCCTCGGACGAGAATAAAAATAAATAAACTACCTCAGTTCTTCTCCACGTCCTCCCAGTTCCAATCCAGAAAAACGTTCATCTCCAGAACTACAAACATTCACTGTTCAAATCTGTCAGTGACGGGGACATCGTCATAAAAATATCCTCTGTTCATTTTACCGATTCAGAGAAGCCGCACTCGAAGACACGACAACATTTTCAACCAGTTTTACCCACAAGGGCAGACTTTCACGACACAGTACACAAGGTACATGCACGGAGCCGTGCAGTGTGCCAGGATTGTTTTTATAATCCTATCAGCTCTCAGCTTACAGGCAGATTGATGACCTCGACCATCCAGCTGCACATGCAGGATCAAAGCAGCTGCTCATTCAGCTCTCTCTGCTAACTCAAACACATGGCTCATGGGCAGTTTTCCATTTACTCTCAGGACGGACATAAATTCAGAGCAGATAAAGTATAAACCATCAAAACACGATGGTCTTCTGATGATTTTGATGATCTTGACCAGCTGATTCCCAACGCCAACAGAGTGACATCACTCAGGTTTCAGATCCATCGTCTGAGACTCCGGCCTGAGAGAGTGATGTGCCGCCTGGACCGTGAGCTGAATGAACGTTCTGATGTAAACGTGACGTAAATAATTGATCTGTCTGTCAAGACGACGAGGGCGGAGCAGGACGACGGTTCAGTATCGACAAGGAGCTGAGGAGCGATCCATCCCAGAGCTTCATCCCACTCTGAGGTAAACCTTTGAAGCAACATTTGGACGTTTTGTGAAACACATCGGTTTGTCTCTGAGGTTTGTCTCTGAGGTAAAGAACACAGACACATGTATGTATTGATGACGTATTGATGACGTATTGATGACGTATTGATGACGTGTTTATGGAACTCCAGTTTCCTCCCACAGACCAAAAACCTGCATGTTAGACTGATAGGTAACTAAATTGTCCCTAGGAGAGAGAGAGAGAATGCTTGTCTCTGTCTCTATGTGTCCCTGTGATGGACTGGACACCTGTCCAGGATGTCCCCCACCTCTCACACAGTGATAACTGGACATGGGCACCAGTGACCCCTGTGACCCAAAAAGAAAGAAGCAGGT